CACAGGACAACTCTAGAGGTAAATCTGGTAAAGGCTTCAAAAGACCTGAGACCGAGCAGAGGTTTGTCTTCCAGTGGAGATTGATGCTAAGGCTACAATACAGTTGCCCCAGTTCAAGTCTGGAAATCTAAAAAAAAATCTCTGACATGTCTTAAGAAAGATTTTCCACACTGGCTATCCATCCAACCTGACACAGCTTGGTCTATTTCCAATTATGATTGGCCAAAAAAGCTGCAAAATGCTGCTTTGGACATGCTGCAAAAGAACTGCGGCTGTCATTAAAGCAAAGGGGTTTCAGACAGCTGACTTCCTTGCCCAACATATATATTCGTAAAAATATATATTTATAGAAAATCAATGAATCTTAGTGGTTCCACTTTACATAGAATACCAATTGTTGCATATACCACATTAAGAAAACAAGTAAAATGAAAATATTTTCTTGCCAAATAATGTACATTTTCTAAATATGTTTACTTAAGAGAACAATTTCTTTTTTTGTTTTTTTTTTTGTTTTTTGGTATCATGTATTTTCTTCCATACATATTAAGTTACATTCAAATATTTGCTATCATTTTATATTCTGTTGTAGTTCTCCCCCCTTACCATGCGATGGCAGTGTCGAGCACGCACGTTCTCCTCAGTTTGTTTTTCCACGCCCAGTTCGAGTTACTTCAAATTTCCGCTTTTTTGACCAGAAGTTGGTGTTTTCTGAGGGGACGAGGCTTCAGCGTCTTTCTAAGCAGTACTTAAATCGTATCTGACAGGTTATGGCGCGACTGTTTCTGAGGGGAAACTTGCAGAGGTGCATAGCCACCCAGATCAGGCTGTCGTCTGACCAGGTAAACGTGCGGATTGGTGACTTTTTCATGATATTAGCATTAGCTTCCCTAATTTATCTGCCATTCACACAACAAAGACAGTCACTATGCTGATTGGACATTTATTTTACGCTCCTCTTGTTGCGTTCGGTTTATTAAGTTTGAAATACAAATTTAGTTTTGACTGAGAGATTCAACTTTTGGTTAAAATTAGTTTTTTATTTAACTATCGGAGCCTGACGTTTTAATTTAACGTTTTATGCCGTCGTTTAAATATGGCCTAACTGTAGACCAGTTTGACCTTTTAACAAATGCATTATTTTTTTTACACTTTCTTTATAACCTGCCACATTTTGGTCGTTAAATTTAAACAATATATTTTGTGTATTACCACTAAACACAGTAAAACCTACAACCTTAGAGCAGCTTGCATAGCTTTGGTTTAGCTCCCCACCTCTGACACACATTTCTGCGGCCCCTCCCCCAAACAGTCTGATTCAATTCCAGGCAGGATTGCACGATCAGGTCTTTTGCAGCTAAATCTCCCTTTTTAATATTAAGAATGCATCTTAAAGGCAAAAGCAAAATGCTAACTAAAATATGCAGCTTTATTTAAAAATAAAAAAACAAATTCCTGTGCAGACAGGACCCCTGCTTAAATGTAGGGGGGGTCAAAGCATGACCATTGAACAAGGCTGCCATTTTTTTTTTTTTTTTTTTCCATCCAGTAGATGTTTCTTTTCTGGCAAAGATATGAGGAACTGGAAATAAGAAGCATGCAGTATTGATCTCCAGGATAAGGTATACATGACTTGAAATTCAAGTTGGACTTTGATCAACAAGTCATTAACACGTGTGCAGATAATACAAGAGGCGTCCACCCAGACATGGAAAAGGGCTGACTGGACTGGGGCACGTTTAAATAAGCATGCACAGAGCAGCTCTCCTGCTGTCTGCATGCTTTCAGCTTGATCGGCTGTAAAAAGGTCCACCTGTCTCGCCTTGACCTCCGTGACTTTGACCCTCGGGAAGGGCAGCATATGTTGCACTCAGTCTGAAAAGCCCTGACTGTTTTGTCCACGATTCATGACTGAAAGGGCATGAATTTTAACTTTAAAAATGAAAGATTTTAAAACAAGATTTTTAATTTTTTTTTAGTCCTTAAGATAAGATTTTTCCTCAATGTATTCACTTTTTATCATATATAATAACACTGCACACACAAAGTAGATCAATTAATTGTTTTATCTAATGTGGACACAATAGAATTCCAATTTTTGTAAAGTGCAAAGCAATATTGTTCATACATACCCTGTTGCTTATCCTAAATTTAATCTGTGGGATTATAGGAAAAATCTCTATAAACCCCATTGCACCCACATAAAGTGAAGGCACCTTTCAAAACTGCATGAAAGGCATTAATTTTGTTTAGTGAAAAAAAAGTATTTTGATTACTTTTTTGTCTTTGTTTATCAGGACAACTTTTAGTTCCAATTCATAAAAGTATTGCTAAGATTGTTGCATTTTGCTTTTCTCCTGTTGAGAGTGTGAGAATCTGCATGAGAATGTGTCCTGAAACAGACTAAAAAATGACATGTTTTAGAGTTGTATTTGTTTTTGACACATTCATACTCATACAGTTTTCTAAAGAGGGTTATCTTTATCACAGAAAGCATCAATTAATATTGTGAAAAAGTCCTTGTGACCCATCCCTACTTGGAGCATGATAGGTTAAGAGTCAGTTTTTCAGTTTGTTCGTTTTGAATGTTGGCAACAATGAAAGTGTCAGGTTTGTATTTTTGCTTTGATTGGATTGTATTTTTAATGGCCATTTTAACATGCAGTTCGACACAAGTTGCAGAAGGCAGTTTTAATATAATCTTGCTCGATGGAAAATTTTTTAAATGAAGTGAATTGTGATCTAGCATGCTTAAAAAGTTACTGCAAGGTCTGAAAAACTTAACTGTTCACATTTCAACACAATAAAGATCATTACTGTGCTTTAAAAGGCAAAATTGAAAGAGACATCCCTAAAGGAATGGGGACCCTACATATTGTATGATGAGAAATAATTAAGTATGGCATGAAATGATACATTTTTTTTTTTTTCTCTATCTTTCAGCTTGGTGAGCTGGGCAAAGGAGCGGGGAGAGGTGGAGGAGGCGGAGGATATGTGAGGTCAGCAGGGGGTGCGTTTGGAAAGCGGGAAGCAGCAGAAGAGGAGCGATACTTTAGGTGGTACCCTGGAGACTTCAGTAGTAACCTCGCAGGCTTCTGTGTCGGATGAGTTTCTGAACCCTCTGCACTTTGTTTGCTTGCAGGGAGAGGGAAAGAGAGCAGTTGGAGGCCCTGAGGAAGCATCATGCAGAGGAGATTGAACATCACAAGAAAGAGATTGAACGCCTACAAAAAGAAATTGACCGCCACAAGGGCAAAATCAGAAAGCTGTCGCATGATGATTGAGTCAGAGGGGCCTGCTGTCATTTATTACCTGAATATCACTAGTTTCCTCTGCTGTTGGAGGCAGATCATGTGGTCGTGATGTTATATTGACCTCTTTGTAAGGGCTGAAACAATAAAGTGATTCATCTTCCTGAAATGTACAATTGTCAGCTTTTTTTTTTTTTAATTTTAATTTTTTTTTTTTTTTAGAATTAGAAAATAGTTTTATATGTACAAAAATATGAACAAAATAGTCTGTTTTCATCCATGTCTCATCAGCTGGATAACAGATGTTCTTGCAGTTTAAAATAAATTCATATTTTTACATCCTAATAAAATGATAATTGAACTTTATTGATCTCATTTTAGAGCAAATTTACCTCTGCATTTAACCCATCCTCTTTTAGAAGCAGTGGGCTGCCATCAGAGTTATCGGGGGTCTGCTCAAAGACCCAGAGTGGCAGGTCTTTGAGAGTGGGTTTTGAACTCACAACCTCAGGATTCCAAGATCTATGCTCTAACCACTAGGCCTTCACTCCACTTAATGGGTTAGAGCAGTGTGCTTTTCCTCTGAGAAGGTTGCAAGTAGCTGGTTTGATCCCCACAGCCTCCACTCTGGGTTCCTGAGCATAACCCTTAACCCCACACTGCCCCCCGTGCACTGTACAATGGCAGCCCATTGCTACCCAAGGAGATGGGTTAAATACAGACAGGGAATTTCCCCATTGTGGGACAATAAAGGGATTTACAATAAATTGCCCCAGTATAAGTTGATCCATTCCTTAATATGTTCCCTTTTTATGCTGTAATTTCAAATTGAAAACACACCCATGTGGGCGCACAGATGGAACGGCGGTTAGTGTGCACGACCCATATATGGAGGCCTTAGTCCTCGATGTGGCTGACCCATGTTTTAATCAGGCCTGTGGTCCTTTGCTGCATATTCTCCCCCTCTCTCATACCCCCTTTCCTGTCAGAAAAACGAGCCACTAGTGCTGTAAAAACTCAACAAAAAAAAGCCCACCCTTTCTTTTCCATATAACTGCACAGCTTTGTATAAATAAACACAAGAAGGGAGTCTAAATGTTTACCAGTCTGACAAGATTTTTAATTCATTAACAAACCATGGTACAAATGTGGTATACTTTACAATACATTATAAAAAAATATTTATGTTGGTAATGTTAGAGCTTAGTTATGCAATCCATATTTAAATATCACTTTGATTTTAGCTAAACAATGTTTTTATCAGTCTGTAAAATGTTTGCATACTTGCAAACATCAGTATACAAAACAATATTCAGGCTTTGCAGAAAAGTTTCATTCCTTAAATGAAGACTCTTATAAACGGTTTATAAAAGGCTTTCCTAGAATAGAAATGTCAAACACTCAGATCTGACAAGTAAACACTGTCAGTTTTTTTTTTTCAAATATTAAAATACATTTGAGCAGACACACTTTATTTGTTATAAAATCTACATTCCCATGTATATAATGTAGAGTTCTTCCACCCTAAAGTATGTACTGAAGAGGTTTTAAGCTTTAAAACCGTGTATTATTGTTAGTTTTTACGTGTAGGCTTTTTGACAGCTGCCTGGTTTGATGGTTACACTGTAATATATTTTACTGACCACATGAGGGCGCCTGTATTGTTCCAAAAAAAAAAAAAAAAAAATCAATCCCCACCCCACCCGTTGCCCTTCATGAATTCTCGTTCCAAATCTCGCGATAGTAGTGATCGGTTGCGTTGTTCGGGCGAGCCGACGACGAGACCGTTGGTGTCTGGAAAATTGTCTCGTGGGTTCGGAACAAACGCTAGTCCTTCTGTTGATTTGGTTCGTACGAAATATATAAAAAAATTACGTCCCGAACTACGTTGCGGTTGACTGTCCGAAATTAGCCGGTGAGTTCTGTTAACTAGCTGTTTTTGCGCCCTTTGTGTGTCTGGCGTGTGGAGGGAGTCTTTCGGCACGGTGAGGCCTGTTAGCTTCCATAGCTAGCCAAAGAGCAAGCTACTGATTCTGTTTTCAGAAGAAGGAGAAATAGACGTAAATGTTACTTATGTTTTGAAAAAGGGTTGGAAAATGTTTTGCAGGTGATAATTATGCACTGTAGCTAGCAAATCCCTATAATGGGTTGTTAAAAGGTAGCTCTTCATTTAGCTTTGGCGCTGACTGCATGTGAAGGGGGCGGGACTGTAGTTGCCGGAGATTTGTGTGAGCCCGGGCTATTTTAACCCGAAACAGAAACCATACCACGTTGTTTAACCTTCTTAAACCCTTTTTGGTACAATTTCCCGAAAATCCCAGACTTGTTGAGTAATATAAAAACGAAATACTATTGGACACTGCTTATGGTGTTTAACTATAAAGGCATAGTATTTTTTATTTTATTTTTTACCCTAATTTTTTTCTAAGAATCTGAACCTTAAATATTTAAAATACTGTAGGTGTGTTAAGATCTTATATTGTTTTGGATTTATTTTTGTTAAACTCAAAGCGATTTCAAGTTCAGTGACGGATATTTTACTTTTTTCAGTAGTTTTGTGAGATATCAATAAGGTTAATTGTTTGAGTTTGTGAGCAGCATGCAACCATTTGATGAGTTATGAATTCTAAGTATTAAATGTATATATCAAGCTAGATATAATTAGACCACAATTTTAAACTGAAACATTGCTGTCTTAGTTGTATCTGCATGAATTTCTGATAATATATTATAATATATATTATATTATAATGGGAGCCAACCTCTCACAGTTTTTTCTTTGTTTTTTACAGAAGAATGGCCGCCGCTGAGGTGAATGGCAGCTCTGCTGTTACAAAGGAGGAAGAAGAACCCATGGATGTGACGACAACACATACGGAAAACTACCAAACTCTCCTTGATGCTGGGCTCCCCCAGAAAGTGGCTGAAAGTTTAGATAATATCTTCCAGACAGGTGGATGATTTCAGCCATGGCATATAAATCTCAAACAAAAATAGCTGCCCTTCAAGTGTATGTTTTTATATGCTCCACTGATTATGGTAGCTAATATGCAGTTTCATTACAGGGTTGGTGGCATATGCTGACCTGGATGAAAGGGCTATTGATGCGCTACGAGAATTCAACGAAGAGGGAGCACTTACTGTGCTGCAGCAGTTTAAAGAAAGCGACTTATCCCATGTTCAGGTACCTGTTTGGTTGGTGCAGCAATTATTTTGCTTTTGTGAGTGCTGTCAATACTAATAAGTCTTTTTTTATTCCTCTGTAGAATAAAAGTGCTTTCCTTTGTGGAGTCATGAAGACATATAGGCAGCGTGAAAAACAAGGAAGCAAGGTCCAAGAGTCAACTAAGGGTCCAGATGAATCTAAAATCAAGGTAATTGGCAGTTTTGTTGGATTTCTAATGTAGAAGCCCAAGAGTATATTGAATATAAATTTCTTGAAGATATGGTTTATTGTTTATAATTTTTTGCGTGTTTTAAGGCTTTGTTGGAGCGGACAGGCTACACCCTGGATGTTACTACGGGACAGAGGAAGTACGGAGGTCCTCCCCCTGAGAGTGTGTTCACAGGATCGCAACCGGGGATTGGAACTGAGGTAAGTAGTGTGAATAAAAAAAAAAAAAGATTTAATACAATAGTCAGTCTTGTTGTATTTGTCTAGTGCAAGTACTACTCAGCATCAGATCGAAAAAGGATAAACTGAGCAATCAGAATTCAGATTTATTTATTTTCTTTTTTTATTATTTTTATATATATATATATATATATATATATATATATTAAAGGCTTTCCGTGTTGTATTGCGCATTATAAACAAAGCTTTAAATCTGTCGCTCTTTTTCTTTTCTGTTTTTTTCTGTTTCAGGTGTTTGTTGGAAAAATCCCCAGGGATTTATATGAAGATGAGCTTGTGCCACTCTTTGAGTCTGCTGGTCCCATCTGGGACCTGAGGTTAATGATGGACCCTCTGTCTGGTCAGAACAGGGGTTATGCTTTCATAACTTACTGCAACAAGGATGACGCACAAAAGGCTGTGAAGCTTGTAAGTATTCACAATCCAACAAAGCAAGTAATATTGTCATCTAAAAATGCAAATTTTCCTGATATCAATAACCTTACTAATAATTACACCAGATTCTGTGTGGTTCTGTTCTGGTACTTTGGTCTTTTATTAAAAATGTACTTTAGGTAGGATTTTCTACCAACATTGAAGACGTGTTTTCTTGGATTCTTTAACAGTGCGATAATCATGAAATCCGCCCTGGAAAGTACTTGGGAGTGTGTATATCTGTTGCAAACAATCGCCTGTTTGTTGGATCGATTCCAAAGAATAAGACCAGAGACAGTATATTAGAAGACTTTGGCAAAGTTACAGGTTTGTTTCACTTCTAAAGAAAGCTCTTTTATTGCTATCTAATTAGGAGCTATAAAACGTATTTTTTCTTAACAAGAGATGTTGTAAAATTATCTTGCAGAGGGACTGCAGGATGTGATTTTGTATCACCAGCCAGATGACAAGAAGAAAAACCGTGGCTTCTGTTTCCTTGAGTATGAGGATCACAAGTCTGCAGCTCAGGCCCGCCGCCGCCTAATGAGTGGCAAGGTCAAAGTTTGGGGAAACCCAGTTACAGTGGAGTGGGCTGACCCCGTCGCAGAGCCTGACCCAGAGGTCATGGCAAAGGTGAGCAGTCCACATTTTAATCTCCATTCCCAGCATTTTGTTCGTCAAAAGGCTGACAAGCTGTACCTTATTCACAGGTTAAAGTGCTCTTTGTGAGAAAGTTGGCCACGTCTGTCACTGAGGAGCTGCTTGAGAAAACGTTTTCTCAGTTTGGGAAATTAGAACGAGTGAAAAAGCTGAAAGATTACGCATTTGTCCATTTTGAAGATAGGGATGCTGCTGTAAAGGTGGGTGGTTTTATTTTTAAGTATAAATGATGCAAATATAATGATTCTCAGTTATTTATAGTTAATTTTTCTCAACATCAGGCTATGGAAGAGATGAACGGTAAAGAACTTGGAGGAGAGGAAATCGAGATAGTCTTGGCAAAGCCACCAGATAAGAAGAGAAAAGAGCGTCAGGCAGCTCGCCAGACTCCCAGGGGTGGCGGGTGAGTAAGAAGGTCACATAATTGGTCAGCTGTGTTACCGTTTGTGTGACTAATCAAATATATATTTTTTCTACAGGTATGATGATTACTACTACTACCCACCTCCTCGCATGCCACCACCTGGCCGAGGAAGGGGCCGTGGTGGCAGGGGGGGCTATGCTTATCCTCCTGATTACTATGGCTATGAGGACTACTATGATGACTACTATGGCTATGACTATCATGACTATCGTGGTGGCTATGAGGACCCTTACTATGGCTACGAAGATATGTACAGCATGAGAAGCCGTGGTACCCGCCCCAGTAGGGGTGGGCCTCCTCCACCAAGGGCTCGTGGGGCTCCTCCAACACGAGGTCGTGGAGGTTTCGCTCAAAGAGGGCCACCTATCGGTGGTCCTCGTGGGGCACGAGGAGGACGGGGAGTACCTTTCCAGCCTCAGAGGGGCCGTGGTCCTCGCGGTGCCAGAGGTAATCGCGGGGGCAACGTTGGCGGAAAGAGGAAGGCCGACGTATTTAACCAGCCTGACTCCAAGCGCCGCCAGACCAACAACCAACAGAACTGGGGGTCCCAGCCCATCGCCCAGCAGCCCCTGCAGCAAGGGGCCGACTATTCCGGTAACTATGGTTACAGTAATGACACCCTGGAGTTTTCACAGGATTCTTATGGGCAACAGTGGAAGTAGATGCACCTAAAGGTATTTGGCAACAACACAAAAAAAAGAGGAAAACAACAAAAGAAAAAAAAAAGGAGATTGGCCACGATTTTTGATTGACTTTTTATTCTTCTTATTCTTCATCCCTCATGAAAAATATCTGTATATACATATATCACAGAAAAATGGACAGACTGCAGAATTGGCTCAAGACGATTGGCTGGAAATCCTTTTGGCTGAAGAAATGAACGTAACCGTTGTGGTCATTTCTCACTCCTGCGGTTACATTGGGACACATCTTTAAAAAATCAGTACAATTTTATTGTAAAGTTTTGTTCCTGGTTGTTTTAAAGCCAACAATGAACACTGACAAAAAAAAAAAGGACATTCATTCTCCAAATTTTGGGTGGACACTAATACAACATATGATCTTGCAGGAAGTTTCTTGTCCATGCTCCCATTTTCCCTTCCCCTTCTTGTACTCCTTTTTAATTTGTGGTTTATTATAGTAGTTTAGGATCATGCTTGTAAATAAATGCATATGGTTAGAGCTTCGTATTCTTTTTTTTTTTTTTTTGCAATGGTGGAGAAAAGAATCTGCCCGAAGGAGAAAAGAATAAAAGTTTTGTAACGTCCGAAGTGTACGCCTAGCAT